TGTGGTTCCAGGACAGTGATGGCATAGGTATCCCATCTTTCAACTTGACACTTTTCCATGGGTCGCGGCCAGCAGGTGCTTTAGTCTTGTGGTGGGCTTTTGGGCCTTGCTTTGGGCCAAGCAAGGGGATGGGTCACTTCAGGTGTTTGATTTAGAAATTATATTCTTTGTGTTCCGTATTAAAGTCCCTTTTCAATAAAGTTTTATATGTTTTGTCTTGATGCGGCAGATGGCAGAACCGATTTGGAGCAGGCAGGTATGGGGGTTTGGGGGTGTCCTTCTCTCCCTGCCCTGTAACAGATAATGAGGCAGATAATGAGGCAATAGGCAGCTTCTCCCCAGACTCTAGACTTAGGAACCAGTTTCCTGTCCAGGAGGATCCTGAGATGTTCTGTCAGTTCATTCTTCTCAATGGGTATCTATTCTAGCTCTTCCTGAACCCATTTTCTGCCTGTCACGCCCCCCCCCCCCCAATCTGTTGACTGACTACATTCTTCTTCAAGCCACCCCAGGTCCTCCGCTCCCTATCTACCCCCATGCCCTCCCTTGTCAACCAGTCTGTCCATTCTGGCGTCATGCTGCCTTCCAGTCTCCTGGTTTCACGGCCACGCCTCAATTCAGAAACCTGAAATGCTTCATTAGTCTTTTACCTATGTCTTCTTGCTGAGTTCTTCCAACTCTACCCTAAACTACAAATCACACCAGATTCAGCTTCACAAAGGCACAACTCTGGTCGTGAACATTGCTTGCTTAAAAATCTTTTATATTGGCCCTCCTTGGTGGCGCAGCAGGGTAAAGCACAGCACTAAGAAGCTAAAGCCACTTCCGCATGAGTTCGATCCCCGCCTGCCCCGGAGGTGACCACATGGTGTGGCAGACCTCTCCTGACCCGCCCGCTGCTCCCCTCAGCAGTGTGCTTCGTTGATCTGCCTGTTCTGCTCCCCACTCTGTCTCTGGGGAATCCTCTCACCCTCTACATCTCTGGCCTGTACCCCAGTTCTGTATGAATAAATAAATAATTAAAAAAAAAACTTTTATATCTTGGGCCTCCCTGGTGGCACAAATTATCAGCAGCCGCTACAGCACGAGTTTGACCCCGGCCAGGGAGCTACCACGTGGTGCAGCAGACCTCCTCTTCCCCCTTTCCCCTGCTGCTCCCCTCGGCAGTATATTTCTGTCAATCTGCCTGCTCACTCCCCACACTGTCTCCGGTGAATCCTCATACCCACACCCGCACCTCTGGCCTCCACCCCCTATTATATGCATAAATAATAATCTTTAAAAAAAAATCTTTTATATCTTTGATTTTCCCAAATCCAGATTCCCATCTTGAAATACAGGGTCCTTGCCCCCAGACTAAAACTGTTTTTAGGGACCCCACATGAAGAGCAGTGATTGAAATTGCAGGCTTAAAGGCAGACTCACTAGTCCAAGGCCCTAGCTCTGCTCCAGCCTCACCTCCTCATGGAAACCAGAGTTGCTGTGAGGAATAAACACACACATGCATGTCAGTCCCTCAGGTTAGGGCATGGCACACAGAAAGCACTCGGGAATCACCACTGCCTACTGCTGTGACTAGTGTCTTCTTTCCCAGGTAAAATAGATTATTCCTTCTCTCCTTCCAGGTCTTTGCTGCTGTTCTCTCAACCCTGGAACTTCTGAGGACCAATGCTGACCCATCATTCAGGGCTCATTTCCCACTTCTCTGACTTCCCGGGTGGTAAGGTTCCCCGGTGGCTCAAGAGCTCTCAGCGATGGGATATCTCTGAGGTAGCCAGATGTGGTCACCTTGTGCCAGCTGCTTCTTCAGCTTTCTTTGTCCATGCCCTACTTGCCCTGTAAGAGGTGCAATTCTCTGAGAGGAGGACTACAAACAGGATGAGCTGGGGGCACTTTCACGGGCACAGAGAGCTCAATAAATAGCTGGTGAATGGCTCAGCTCAAAGCTGCCCAGTGTGAATGTGTCTTCCAGTGCCTGCCACAATTCCCACACCTCTCCTGACACCCCCCTCTGCTGGCAGGGTTGTTGATAGGACTCACCATTCCAGAAGCGATGCCTTTTGCAAACCTGACCTTCTGCTGCCAGGGAAACGGATCCTGCAGGATGAAGGAATGCTCATCAGATATTTGTTGAGCCCCATATCACCTGTGGTCTTGCCCCCTGGGTCCACATGGTTTGCTGGCCACCTCTCCCAGCATGCTTATGCCTAGTTCCACCCAGCATGACCCTTGGCAGTCAAAGCAGTGAGCCCATCTGGCTTTTGTGGTTCCAGGACAGTGATGGCATAGGTATCCCACCTTTCAACTCAGGCTTCTGGAAACTGGAGATGTGCTTACCACACTGCGCAGGAAGTCTTTTAGTGTGCCCCCCTCAATGTACTCTGTCAGTAGGTTAAGCTTCTTGTCTTTGTACAGCACACCAATGAACTTGAGCACATTGGGGTGGTCCAGGCTTCGCATCACCTTCACCTGAGGGTAGAGAGCCAAGGAGAGAAGTGGTTACTTTTCACTGTGTCTTCCTTACCTCTTCCCTTCAGAGAATCAACTTGACATAGGTTACCTCCATCTCCTACATTAGGTGACATGGCAAGGGCACTAATATCAAGGTGAGAGGGAGGAAGACCGCCACATGGAGGAAGATGGCCTCTCAGGCCTCATGCGTGGGCTCCCGCCTTCCTAGAAGTTACATGGGGTTGGGGTGCTGGAACAGGAGGGCCCAAGAGTGAAACCGAAGCATGGGGTGTGTGTGTTTGTGGGCGGGGGGTGTTGGGGGGGGGCAGGGAAGCACCACCAGGTGTATCTAACTGAAATAATGGAGCACCTTGGGAGGCAGTGAAATCTGTGGAAATGCTCAAGGGGTATCAAGTTCTCTGGGAGGCCCCGTTCCAGGCTCCATTAAGAGGGTATTCAGAAGGTGATTACAGCAGCCAGTAGCATTAAAATGGTCTGTTTTTATGACTACCACCCCCCAAATCTATTAGCTCCTCTGAACCATATTGCATTTGTTGTTTCCCTTATGCTTATCTCATGCTGTTTTACGTGTACACGAATAAGTGGTATGCAGTAATTTAGGGGACATGGACAGTCCCTTAGTGCTTTTTCTACTCAGCCTTGAAAGACAGTGATTTCAAACTGTTTCCTCTTGAAACCACTGTTAAGTAAGGTTTTCCCTCTTCTTACAATGACATCAGACTCCTAGCCCCCACTGCCTGCTTCTTACCTCAGTCAAAAAGGTCTTCTGTGTCTCTTCGTCACATCGAATTAACTCCTTCATGACCATAACTTTGCCTGTGGCTTTGTGTGTCACCTAAAGAGAGGGCAACTAGTATGAGTGCAGAAGCCAGAGGCAGTTCTGGAAGATGTTTGTGAAAATCTATACCATCAGCCACTCCATCCCTTGGAGCGCTGCCTGAACCAGATTAGACTGGCAGAATTCAGTGTGGAGGACATGTAGCACAGGGTAGCAGGAGCGCAGAGGGAAAGCACAGCCTCCTCCCCGGAACTGGGCATGCACAGAGAGAGGCGAAAATCCAGAAAAGGGGAGTGGAGAAGGTAGAAGGGGCCAGTGCTAAGCCGAGCAGGGGCGGTGGCCATCCGGCACAGAAGCCACTTCAGTGGGTGAACAAAGAAGGGTCAGTGCCACAGACATGCACCAGGGTGCTGGATGGGGTGGGGGTGAGCTCTCCAGCCCCACTGCCCCCTGCCCCGCAAGCTAAGACATGGCTTACCTGACCCCCCCTCCCAGCTCTCAGCAGAGGAGGAGAGAAAGAGACAGTTAGACCCCCAAGAGTATTCATCGGGGAGGCAGGGCCACTCCCCCATAGGTTCTCTGCAGCATACCCTGCACTGAGATTTCTGGGTACCTTAAAACACCCACTGAGTGGAGGTGGGAGGCACCCACAAAGACACAGCTCACCCCAATACAGGCCCCCAAAGCTCATTTTAGCAGCAAAGCTGCCCTTAGGTGGCCTGGGAGGTGGGGAGCAATCCCTGCACCTGCAGCCAGGAGGAAGCCCTGGTGTCCCACAGGAGTGAGGTCACGTGATATGAACTACCTGAAAGGTGAGTGAGTGCTGGGGGCAGAGAACAGGGCGGCCACGGCCGGTGCTCACCTTGATGGCCTGCCCAAAGAAGCCCTTCCCCAGGACCTCTCCATGGATCAGGTCACATGGCCGAAAGATCTGCTGTGAGTAGCTGCTGGAACAGCGGAGGGATTCCGAGCGACTGATGTCACGGCTGAGCAGCAGTGGCTCCTTGGGGGAACTCGGGCCAGGGGACTTGGAGATACTGTTACTGCGCCTGATGATGGGAAAAGAAGGGAACAGTGGTAGGGTCGTCAGAGATCTGCCAGGAAAGCAGGAACCTCGGGGACATTTCAATGCCTGTAATGCAGCTGCTTTACTGGAGGGCGGCAGGCTACTACAGCAGATAGATGTGCCATTTTGGGCCTGTGGACATCAGTAGTTTATTTAAGCATAATGGACAAAGTAAAAATGGGGAATCTAAGTGCCTCCTACCTGGAACAACTGACTAGATTCTATTAGTTTATAATGGTCAATATAGTACAGCGCTGTGGATGGTCATCTACCACCTTCCATGTCTGCTTGAGTCAAGGTAACAACTGGGTTGTAATGACAGTGCAGCACCATCCAAAAAATGACAAATGGGATTCAGATAGGTTCCACAATTTTTACCTGTCATATTTCCGGAATTTAAAAATAATAAGCGTGTGTGACTTTGATAGTATTAAAGCCAGCATGGGTATATTTCTAAAGCAGTCAGTAATAGTACTGGTTGGTTGATGACTGCTACTGTGACTAAGGAAGGGACAAGGAGGCTAAATTCTCAGTACGGGGCCTCCTTGGCAGCTGGGGTTAGTCTCAGCGCTACCAAGCTATTGCCAGCCACTGCAGCAATAGCTTTCTAATCAGCCTCACAACCCCTTCTAGGCTTGTGTTCCTGACCTTCCCACCCGGCTGGCTTGTGGTGGCGGCCAGGAGGGCAGCCAGGAGTGATGGAAGCAGTCTGAGGTGGAGGGGGGCTCTCTGTTTCCGTCAGATGCCAGTGGAGAGGGCCCCGCCTGATTCCCTGTTTGATCAGAAAGGTGGGAAAAGAACCCGATTCTTAGCAACACTAACAACACCTCACATTTACTAAGGGCTGACCCTATGTCAGTCACTAGTTTGCATCCTTTTCATGTAGAATTTTTAAATAATTGGTGAGAAAGCCACTTCTATCTTGCAATACCACTGCATGGATATACAAAGAGCGGCTCAGAAAGATTAAGTGCCCAGTGAAGGGAGGGCGCCCAACTCCACGGATGGTATGGACATGTCTGCCCCTAAGATCCAGTGTTTTGGACTCCTGTCCTTTAAGTGTCCTTGCTCGACACCTGCAGCAGGGTCACTGCTTCCTCCTATGAATTTGGACAGCTATGATGTTTCAGTTATTGAACCCTCAAATCTGAAACAGCTGTATTAGTCTCTCGCTTTATGCCTGTCAGCGTCCTTGTATACACTGACTATCTGTGCCCTACTCCAACCTTTGAGCCCCTACACAGGACATGCTGCCCTTCAGGGTCCAGCATCTGTTTCCTGTCTAGCTTAGGAGTTCAGTGGACAGAGCTCGATCCTCTGGTTTCTAAGGAAACCTGGCAGCCAGCTGTGTCAGATCATGCCCAGGCCCTGGCTATGAAACGTGATTCCATGGGAGGCGGGTGGGGTGGCTGGGTCAGCACAATCCTCATACCCAGTCCCTGGCCAGATGGTTCCCTTCCTGACTGCTGGCCTCAGAAAGTCAGCTCTGCCTCATCTGAAGGACAGACACGGGGCAGAACAGAGCCAGTGGGAGGTGGCACCTTAGCGAGCGTCTCCTCAGCGTCCCTTCCAGATTCTCCTTGGTGTCCAGGGTGCTGAGAGTGTGGGAGTGTCCAGCATTCTGCATGTGGGGAGAGAGGCGAGCGCCCAGCCGCAACTGGTCCAGATGTTGAGAGACAGGGTCGTGTTCGATCAAGACCTGCAGCGTCTGGCTTGTCTGGCTAATTGCATCCTCTACCTGTGGTCAAGAGCAGTGTCAGGATGACTCCCACAGGCTGCTCTATCTAGCCACCCACTGTCAGCCCAGATGACTGAAGGACAGGTTGGACAGTGCTCAACTTGACTAATGGTGGCCTCCAACTGCCAGTAGCCCCCTGGTACCCTCTGTCTGGCATCTTAACAGCGCTTCCGTGTGTCAGGCCATGCTGCCTAGGGAACATGTCCAGGCTGACACAGGTCAATGTGGATCACAGGTTCAGTGGTAAGACAAAAACAAACAAACAAAAAAGCCCCAAACTAGGCTGATGTGGGGAGAGGTAAAAAGCATAGCTCCCTATCTCCCACAGCATCTATTCCATGTCCCACCCCCTTAAGATACCTCCTCCACTCGGAGTGTGCGGACAGGTGTCCCATTGATCTCCAAGATGCGGTCTCCAGGGTGGATGGCATTCCGGTTGTTGGGACTGATGTGCATCCGGTTGACCCTGGGCCGGAGGAGAGGAGTGGTAAGGTAAAGGCATCTAAATGTGTCTTCATTTTGCTTTTTCAGGGTAGGCTATCCTGGCCCCAAGGCCCTCAAGGTCCCCAAAAGCCCAGGCCAATTACTGGGAAAGGTAATCATCTTCCCAGCATGCACCACCTCAGCAAAGAGCAGCAGCATTCACCCAGTGCAGATAAACATCACCGTCTCCCCATCTGGAGTTCCCCATCAGCTCCCCAATCCTCACCATCTTGGAGAACTCTGCTTTCTCTCCATCAACATACTCACCAATGCTTCTCACCTGGATCTTCCAATAGCATGTTAACTGGGCTCGCTCAGTACTAGGCTTGCCCCATTCCCATCAAACTTCCACACCCGTGATCCTTCTGCAATGCTAAACTGATGGCTTTTATTGTTTAAACGCCTCAATTGACCTGCTGGGTCTTCATAATCAGGCCCTCTGTGACTCGGCTTAGCCTTCTTTCTGGCTACTCTCAACCTACAATGACTACAATCTACACCAGACAAAACCACAGATTTCCATGGCCCTGCCCTGAACACAGCTCCCTCCCCTCTTCATGTAATGAGGTTTTAGAACAGCTCTCACTTCCTTCCTGAGCTCCCCAGCCCTAGTAACTCACTCACACCACATGCATCCCATCCCCAGCACTATTTAAGGCTTGGAGGCCAGAGGTGCTCCAGTACTGGTACTATTTCATTACTGGCAATTATTACAAGGACATAGATTCGTTCCCTATCCAGGCCCACTTGACCTGGACACCGAAGATGGAGTATTAATTTATTTTCAGTCATGGACTCTATTTTCTCCTTGATTCAGTCAGCCAACAAAATAATAATCAACGAACACCCGTTTTGTGCAGTCTTCCAGGTTGCAGGCATGCAGCACTGTGTAAGATTACGTTCCAGAAGGAACTAGTAGAGTGGACAGGTGGTAAACTAGCACATACAGTCACGTCAGACAATTTCAAAGAGCAAACATGATCTGAAACTTGACTCGTGCAAGCTGAGAGACTCTAGTGTACAGTATCAGGTGGGAAAGAGCCTTGGCAGAGAGCGCCGTCGGTGCCAAGGTCCCAGGGTGAGACAGCACAGCGAGTGCCGGGAGGCAGAGCGGAGGTGAGGACGCGGGGCTCCGCGTCAGGTGTGGGGTCCAGCGTCCATGGGGCACATCCGTGAATGTGCTCAAGAATCCCCGGCTCCACGGGAAATACTCACTCCTTTACTTGCACAGTGGTGGCATAATTGGAGCAAGCACTCTCCACAGACACGGAGAAGCCTCGCCTGCCCTCGGTGGTGGCTGGCATTGAGATGAGTGTGACGGAGTAGGGCAGCTGGTCCTGAACAGATTCCGTGGAGAGTCTCTCAAACATGGGTGCCAGCACCACCTCGTTGTGGCACTTCCCACTGGTGAGGGAAACACAAAGGGCACTAAGGTCCTGGAGCTCCATCAGGAAGCCCCCAACAGCCCCTGCGCCATGTGGTCTCACACACAGTACTGACAGTCCCACTACTACTGTCGCTGCCATGAATGCAGCTGGTCCCTCAGAATGAAGAGCCTGGGTTCTGTGAGGGAGGGGTGAGACTATGGGTGAGATGGTCTGGGTTCTCTTCACTCTGCCTTTGACTCAAAGTAAGAATCTTGCCTATCCTCCTCCCCCCACTTTGGGATTTGGCCTGACTTCTGGACTGAGTGAGTTGTAACGGGCTTTTGTCTTTGATGTTCTGGGATCCTTCTCCAAGAACACCTTTCTCTCCCTCTGCGAAGACGGAAGAGTGAAGCATTATTCTCACGGCAGGTAAAGACAAAAGGCATAAATAATCATCTTACATACAGATTACAGAGTTGATAAGAACACTGATATGACAGGAATCCAATGCTCTGATAATTCCGTCACCTTTCTGCCATATGGCCACCTGTCCCTCCCTCTCTCCCTCCCACTTTTACAGGGAGGATGGACACAGGGCCACCATCTTACCAGTAGAGGGTGGCGTGCTGCACCAGGGCATATGCATCCCCATCCTCGATGATCACCTTGCAGCTCATGCAGGCAAAGCATTCTGGGTGGTATTTGAACTCTCCAGCCACCTGTGAGCACGGTGGGGAAAATATAGACAAAGGAAGGGAGTTGCTTTTGTTCCTGGAATGAGGCAGGGGTAGGTGAATGATCTCCAGTCAAGTATCTATAGATCTTAGTTGTAATCTGCCTTTTCCATCCCTGTCCTAGAATTCCAATTTCCATAGGAATTGTTGAACTACTCTTGTCTCTGTTATTTCTGAGGCTGCCAAAAATTGTTTTGGTCTTAGTCACGACAAGAAATCTCCAGAAGTAACCATCCCCAATAGAAAGACTCACAGTTCCTCCAACACGGGGTTAGCAAAACTCTTTGTCTAGAGGAGGCAGGTGGAAGCTACTGGGAGCTCTCTCTTCCAGTCTATTCCAAGGTCTCCCTTTTTGATGTCCTGAACACAACTCCACGTATCACCCTGTTAGGTTCTTTTTTAAGGTCCTCATCCTATTGTATTGTGTCTCCTCCCTGCCTATCCACCCACTCCACCACTGTTGAGGGAAGACTTTTACCTGGCACTTACTAGGTAGTAACAAACATACCTGGATGATGGGAGGACCAGAAGATGAATGGCCCAGGGGAATGGAAGGGCTTGTCAATGAACTCTGAACAAGATGGGTAGAGACAGAGGAACTCACTCACCATGACGGGCCCTGTCATCAGCAGAGAACATCCATGACAGAACTCCCCAAATTTCACCCAATAGTCCTTGTGGCAGTAGAGCTTCCCATCCCTTTCATAGTACCAGTTGGTGAGAGGTTCCTGGCATTCTGAACACCTGCAAGGTAAGAGAAGAACAGAAACTCTCCTGGATCCTTGGAAGCAGACTACATGTGCTGCCCCTGTCTCCTGGGTTTAACAACAAAAATGGAGAGACTACTTTCCATTTCCCCAGGATGGGGGAAAGTTAGCTTACTGCTCTCTCCCTAAAAGGAAGCCAGTTCAGAGTGAACAAGAATGCAGAAACCAGCTCTGTATTGCCTGACTCGGCAGGCCAGTGTTTCTTAACCTCTTTGGGTCTTAAAATCCTTGGAGTATCTGATAAGAGGCAAGAAGCCTCTCCCAGAAAATTGAACATACAAGGAAAATGTGCATGTGATTCAGGTATGAGGTATTGTGTGACACGGAGTGAAAGCCTGTTCATGGCCCCAGCTAAGAACCTCTGGTTTAGAGATATCTTTTTTTTTTTTAAAGATTTATTTATTTATGCATATAGAACTGGGGAACAGGCCAGAGGTGTGGGTAGTGAGAGGATTCACCAGAGACAGAATGGGGGAGCAGAACAGGCTGACTGACGAAGTACACTGCTGAGGGGAGCAGTGGGCGGGTCAGAAGAGGTCTGCTGTGTCATGTGGATCACCTCCGGGTGGGGATCAAACTCATAAAGAAGTGGCTTTAGCTTCTTTGTGCTATGCTTTAACCTGCTGCGCCACTGGGGAAGGCATGAGATATATCTTTTGTTTTTTAAAAAATATTTTATTTATTTTATTTTATTTATATAAGAACTGGGGTGTAGGCCAGGTGAGGTGAGAGGATTCACCAGAGATGGAGCAGGGAGTAGAACAGGCAGATCAACTGAAATACACTGCTGAGGGGAGCAGTGGATGAGGCGGAAGAGGTCTGCTGTGCCATGTGGGTCAGCTCCCTGGTTGGGTATTGAAATCAGGCCCCAGTGGCTGGTGACAGCTTTACAGTGCTAAGACTTAGACCCTGTGCCACCAGGGAGGCCCTAGAGAGATATACCTTGATGAGCCAAATTTCAAATGCCTCCACAATCCAAAACCCACACATCACCAACAGCATTACCAATATAACATTCTTGCTAAAAATGTTAAGATATAAAGAAACAATCAGGCCAATCCAGAATACAGGACCTCCTACAAATTAATGGTCTAGACTCTTCTAAAAAGTTATTATGGGGGAAATAAGGGTATAGAGATTTTTAAAAAATCGAAGGACAAAGCAATCAAATGCAACACCTAAACCTTGGATCAGTTGGACTGAAAAAGAAAATAGTCGTGAGTGACATTTTTGGAAAAAAGCGAGGAAATCTGAATTTGGCTTATATATTATATTGTAAGTTACTGTCAATTTTCCTAGAGGCAATAACAATACTTTGGTTATATGGAAGAATTCTTAGAAACACATTAAAGCAAAAGCAAACATTATCTGCTCATTACTTTTAAATGGTTTAGCAAAAATAAATGCATTGTGTGTATGTGTGTGTGCACACAACATAAGCAGACACGGTTAAGCAAACTGTGATAAAAGTGATTGTTCAGCTAACAAATGCTTAATTTAGTGAAGGGTACACATGGGTATTCTTTGATTTTTCAAAACAAAACACTAGGGGGATAAAACCAAACTCCATACAAGATGTACATATAGGATTTACAGCTGCTTTCTCCCCTAGTCACCTGGTGATAAAGCCCTACCACTCAGGTCAGGTATGTTGTCACTGTGAGCACAGACAAGCTCACCATTTCCCGGCTTCCTAGTACCCAGAGCTAAGAGCTCCCTGGCCTACGCTTCCTTTCTTTGCAGTTAACAGACTCGCTGTTCTTGTCAATGCCTCATACCATCCATGCTGGCCTCATTCTTGCTTCTGAGAGGCAAGGTATAGCTGTCTTCTGGTTTAATCCTGACCCAACCACTTACTAGTGATGTCATCTTGGGCAAGTGACTTTTCTTCTCCAACCCAATAAAATGGACTATTGTGAATATGAAGTAAAATTTTTTAAAGTATAGGTTATATAAAAGCCCTAGTACGAGAGGAACTCAGTAACTATTAAAGATGACGACGATGATGGTGGCTTACATTATGACTACTTACTGTCACTAGTAGGATAGCTTTGGAAGACTTCTCAGAAGTTCTTCCTCACTGATAAAATGTAGCTAACTGCACCCTACAATAAAGACCCACTGTGAAGACTAATGTATGAGAAAAGCCTTAAGCAGACTGTGAGTGCAAGACAAGCATTACTGCAGTCACTTGCTGGGCCCTGCAGAGAGGCACTCCCAGCCTACCTTTCAAGAGCTTGTAATGAATCAGGGAAAAGAAAATCTAAACAACAAAAAACCCAAACAAAGCTTAATTCACAAAGCGAGTTGAGTGGACACAAAGGATCCTACAACTTTTGAGCACTGCATGAGGTAGAGGAAGGAGAGGCCAAAGCAGGGTCAGAAAGTCCCTTAGTGCTCGACAAATACTGATGGCTTCTTCTCTGAGCCATCCCCACCCTCTAACACTTCCTACTTGTCCTGTGAATGTTAAGCTGGGCGTGGAGTGGTGTGAAGAATATGGATAGGGCATGCTTAGAACAGCACAGCGAGAACCTTAAGTTATAGGAGCTGGAGGGGAACCCTGTCCTGGGTACACAGCTCAAAGTCCTCTAGTCCTCTTAATGTAAAAAGGACTCTGAACTGGGGGGAAAGCAGTGATCCGGGTTCAAGTTCTTGGGAGTCACAAGCCCTAGAAGCAGCCCCTTTCCTTCTTCGGGTTGTTTCCCCCGCTGTAAAAGGAAGGTTTGGCTACACCCTAGGTCCCTTCAATTCTACGCAGATCTATGTTTCTTCTCAGCACTGCCCACCGCCATTACGACATAGGTGGCCCTGTGAGGGCTGCTTCTTTTCTCACTTGCGAAGTGGCAACACCTTATTTTCAGGGTGGCAGTGAGGATGACATGCAGCTCTGCTCGCCTGTAAGGTGCCCAGCAGAGGGCCCACACTAGGAGCAAGGGCCTTCTTCTTGCCTCCTGGATACATGTCTTCTTCCTTTGTTAGACTGGTAAGCTCCCTGAGGACAGTAAAGCGTCCCACTCACTCTTGGTAGACTTAGTACCTAGAAAAGAACCTGGCAGAGAAGTTCTTAGCAAATGTTTCCAAACCAAAAATTGTGGGAGAGGCAACAACCAGTGGTCGGGTGGGAGCACAAGAATTGTGTGGCTCACGGCCACCAGATCCTGCCCTTCTATCTACACGGGAGAAAAGCTGGTGGAGATGTATTTGCACCCAAGGCAGGCCTGGGCCCTGTTACACCCTTGCAATGGTATGTGCGCCGCAGGGCATGGGAGCACCAGAACACGTCCTCCTTTCCATTGCCAATATCCTGCTTTTGTTTGCTGCAAGTAGCCTTGACCAAACCCAGGAGAGGGGGCAGGGAAAGAAACGAGTGCAGGCATGCAGGAGAAAAGTCACACAGGCTTGCTGGGAAGAACACCTGGCTGGAGAGCGACATAGTACCAGTGCCAGTGTCAAGTGAAACCTTTGGGGGGGCACAGCTACATTGCTGACTGACACTGGCCGGCAGGTGTCTCTGACTAACAAGGAGGTGGACAGTTGGTGGGAGGGCTGGCTGTGGGTTCCCAAGGTATTTTGTCACAGAATGCAACTGGTCCCTGGGCCGCTGGCGAAGCTGTCATTAGGAGTCCTAGGTTAGATATGATCAACAGCTACCGTTACCATACCTGAATGCCAAACATATTTCTATCGCTCTGGGAGGTGCCTTGCTTATATTATCACTAATATTGACCACAACCTTGCAAGGCACAGGATTATTTCAGTTTTTGCAGGCCAGGAAAAGCAGACAGTCACTCCTGTAAAGCCCCCTAATACATAGAGAACCTACACGTTCTCATTTCCGCCATTTCCACTGCCACTCACCATCGAGTGGTGCGGCACATCTGCTAAGCTGAGCCTCTGGACACTCCTCTGTGAAAACACAGAGGCCGGGGCCCGAGGACTCAAGGTGCCTCGAGTGTTAACTCCACGGGGCTTCTCCTTCAGCCAAAGCACCGAGTGTTAAACAATTCTCCTCCGCCACTGAGTGCATAATGTTCTGCTCTCCAGCAGCCTCTGCCCTTTTAAAAAAAAGAATACAGAGAGCACCCCAGAAATGTAAGGCACTCCTCAAAAATATCCCACACCTCAGGTTGTCAGAGACTAAGCCCATAATATGTTCTTCCTAAAACCAAAGCTTTTTTCCAGTTTTAATTTTTGAGAGCTTCAAGTGAAAGTAAAGATCTACCCTGGCTGCTCCCCAATTGCCAAGGGTTTCTGGCCCGTATGAGATGTAGTCCTGAGCACAGGGCTGAAACATCAGTCACCACTCTCTGCTGAGTAGCCAGATTAGCCAGAAATGAAACCCTCTGACTAGGGGAGGGCATCAGGAGATCCACGGACACCATGCCTGAGGATGATCTCTGAATTCAACTCCTCTTCTAAAGCATGACAGAGGGCCTTGAACGGAACAGCAATGGGCTTCAGATTCCTACTGGATGGATCTTCAATGAGCAGCTCAGATTCATGCAGAGATCTTTTGAATCATCAGGCAACACCGAGATTAAAAATAAAATTATTTATACATAAAGCCTGTTGAGATTCTCACAAACAATTCTTTTAAGACCTGGGCCCGCATTACTTCGTTGTCATTGATTATCCGCTCTCTTAAAACCAGTTACTTCAAGACTCTGAGCTTCGGTTTCCTAATTGGAAACATGGGTGATGATAAAACAAATCTCATGGGATTATGAGAATTAAGTTATGCACAAATACCTAGCAAGATGCCTGGCTCAGCAGATGCCCAGAAGTGTTTCTTTCCCTCCATTTCCTCTTTAATTTGGGGAACACTAAGGATGAAAATAGACCCCCTCTCATGCCTAAGCAATATGAACCTGCCACTTGTCCCAGAACCAGATCTCTGTAGTGAATGTCTTAAAATAAATTATCTATTCAACTAGAAAAATAAATTCTAATCAATTCCTATCAACTAGGAAAAAGTTACTGTACATTAAGGATGTGCAAGCACAAACAGGCAAGGTGTTGTGCTGGGAGAAGTCAAGTTAAGATGACATGTAGGCCCAGCTCTCACTTACATCCAAATTCTTCAGGTCAAATGTTTACAGGTAAAATTTCAACCGTATGTGGTAAGAGAACCAGTAACTATTACAAGTGGCCTATTAAAGAACAAGCCCTCCCCTGTCCTGGTAAAGGCCTGGCTTGATGTTCATCCTTAATCTCCCAAATGAGCAGTCAGCCAGGGAGAAACTTCTGCAGTCTCTTGTCTCTGAGCTCTGCCTGGGCTGAACAGAAGAATGAACAGGTCTCTTTGCCACAGCCTGACAGTGTCAGGACCGCAAATGCCAATTCTCTCCCCGGACCCAGAGACAGATGAAGTAGGGGCTACCCTCTACAACCAAAGAATCCTTTATTATTCCTCCTTCCCGCAGAACTCTGTAGGTTGAAACAGGCTGTCAATTCAGTTGTAATTACAGAACATGTTGTTATCCTGTTTTTAAAAATTAACCCGACACATAATGAATCTCTGATGACCAGAGTGTGTTGACTCTGTTTCAACCAAAAGTCAGGAAGCTGGTAGCTCTAGTAATCTGTGCAGTACACAGCAGTTAAAGGTAGCACCTCCATTATTTGGAAAAAAATATCAAAGAGCTATGTGTCTCCAAGAAGCTACATTAGTTGCTAAGTAGGGACCCATCCACCTGATCAAAGTCCTCATCTCTCAGCTAAGGAGGAGTCCCAGAGGATATGAAGCAGCTGCCAATGTTACTCCTAAGCAGGGCAGGGTTAAGAATAATTTTTCCCTTTAGACAAGAATTGCTTGAGAATACAAAGATGCACTTGTTTTCAAGAGACAGTGTGGAAACCAAACCCATAAATCAGTGTTGGACATTAAGGAAAATTCTACACAATGAAAAATAACTTAAAGCTATTAGACAAAAGTCACTCCTTAATTTACTTCCAATCTGAGGTGTTAACTTCCTTGGGAGCAAAGCTCATGCTAGTGTTGGCAGGGGAAGACATTCACTGTGCTGAGCAAGGCCTGTCAGGCCAGGGTGGATAGGGCACAGAAATTACATTCATTCCTTCTTTCCTCCCTCCTGCGCTGTCACGCCTGATCATGTCCCCATGGAATCTGGTTGCGTCACTTTCCTTGCAATGACAGCTCCAGAACTCCGGTGGACTTCATGCTCCCCCAGAGGTCTAGGGTCAAAGACTGAATTTGTTTCACATAATCTGGCAAGTGTTGTGTTCAGGAGCCCAGAGTCTGGCCTCTAGAGGAGAAAACTGAGGTCAGAGGAGACCCAGAGAGCGGAGAGGCAGCTAGTCGAAGAGACCTTGAGGACACCCTGCAATGAAGGGTTTTCTGACCAGGAAGTATAGTGGACACTGATCAGAATGCTATCTGGAAGAACGAAGGGTGGGGGGGGTAGGGGGGGGTGTTGGGTGGTCCCTCCAGTGGGGCAGAGCTGTGTGTGCTGGCTATCTCTCCAGCAGTGACTTCAGGAATGTGGTATCCCACTTTGGGGGGTGGGGAGGGGAGAGGTCTAGAGTCAGTCAGTACCCTCTAACTCCAGCTGGGCAAACAAAGCAGGTGGAGAGGGGTGATCAGGTTCCCCTGAGGGGTTGGGGCAGAACAAGACATGAGACAAGCTGAGCCTGAGCGGCTTTTGGTGGCTTGGCCCAGGTTGGGAACTCATTACCTGCTCCAGCTCCTGGGAAGCTGTGTCCTGTTCCCAAAGATTAAAAGGGGCATGACATTCCTGGCTCCTAAGGGAACAGCCCCCACCCCACCTCACCACCCAAACTGCTGGTCAGGATTAAGAGTAAAAGGGATTAATGAGGCCCTGGCCTAAACTAGTGGCTACTTCAAACACTTTGGCATCTTGATCCCACATGGTAAAACCTGCCTCCTAAACTTATCATGATCATTTCCCACTGCTCTTCAGGTAAGAATCTCGGCCAAGCCCTCTTTGATATGCCAGGCAAAGTAGGAGGGCTTTTTTCTGCTTTCTCTGCTGGGAGAGGAAAGAAAAACCACGAGAACACCTCTGGGGGAGGTGCAGGCAAAGGTGGGTACAGTCTCAAGTGGGATGAGAGAAACCTCAGGAAGACAGAAAAGACCCATCAGAGGAGGGAGGCCGGAATGCTAACTTTGTTGAAACTGGTGGCCTCATCTGTAAAATGGACACAGAATATCTTCGGGCCACTGAGAGACCAAAAAACAAAGTGTGTAGCAGTGGTCAGCACTGAAGCAGGGCCTCTCAGGTCCCACACAGCTCCCTCAAATCCAAACACTTCTCATAACCTCACCAGGGTCCAGTAATTCTGTGAAACCACATGATGTTCTGCCTTTCTGCCCAGGGCATGGCCATCTGACCAGTATCCCAGCAGCGAGGTCTGGGCATGGGGCTGACTTGGGGAAGCCAGAAGTGTACCAGGACCACTGGTGAGGGGGAGGCAACCTTGGAACAACAGGCTGCTCCCAGGGAAAGAAAACAAGCCCCACCCCAGCCAGGAATGGCTCCATTCAGGAGGGACCCTGAGGGCCAGAAACACCCCCCCCCCCAACCTCAGGGGAGTTTCTGTTGGAGACGGGGTGGGGCAGAGAGCTAAGAAAGGGAGGTCAGAGGTAGAAAGTTTCCACACCTCCCACAGAGAAGACCCACAGAGGTGCTCAGATCTGGGTGTGATGCCTGGCCCAGTAACTCAGGCCCAAGCCCATTGCTCCAGTTTCAGCAGTACTGGCCAAGGCCTTTACCTAGCAACTGTATTCACCTGGGAACTCAGAAGCCTGTAAAGGTCAGAGGCAACTGTGGCTACCATTAAAAGAACAGACATTTATAGAGCGCCTACTATGCACCAGGCTGCCCACACCCAGGCCTTGCCAGCTTCCATGCTGCTTGGCAAAACCTGCCCATCCTGCTTGTTGGGACAAATTCCTGGGCAGGCAGCATGGCCTGCAGGTAAGACACATGAGAGCTGACAAACAGCACCCTATCTATTTGTGCTGTTCTCCCCCCACCCCCTCCCGGAAGCTGTTAACACCAGAGCTGGCCAGTCAGTAGCATCTTTTGGAGGCTTTTCCAGGTGTGTCTGGGAAGAAAGTTCCCCAAGATCTTCCTTTTGGGAATATCCCTGCCTCCCCATTCCCAAAACACAGTAGGGAGCCCTGAGCAGGCCTGTTCAGCTTGGAAATAGCCTCTGGCTTCTGCCTGACAGAACCAATGGTGAAAGGACAAATGAAATCTGAGAAGCAGATTCAGGGAGGCCTCTGCCTCCCCTCAGGACCAGAAGAGGCGATAGGGAGAGGAACTCGGAGCCCAACTCACCGAAAGGGGTCTTTGGAGGTGAAGTAAGCCGGGATGGACAAGTAACTTCCCATCTTCTTCCCACACCAGATAAACAAGTTCAGCTGCAAACCTGTGTGGGAGTGCCTCAGGCTGCCTGCACTCGACCACCATGACAGGCCCGGGCTCTCGGCACTTCTGCGGCGGCCGGCCGGTTGCTGGGCGCTCACCTCTCCCTTCGGAGCAGCCTGAGAAACATGAGGACTCCAGGCCACTTGCCTCCTGGCAGCTTCCCACGGGAGTTCATGGCTGGGGCGGCCTTCTCCCCAGTTCTCGGAAGCTCAGGCAGCCCCTTGCGTCTCCAGGAGAACCACCTCTCTGTGGAGGCTACACACACACAGGCAAGAATTCTTGGGTAGGGGCTGGGGACTGGCGAAGTAGAGCGGCTGTCAACTTAGCCTTCTTCTCCAGTCCCACCCCTGAAGAGGGAGGGAGAAGGAAGAGGAGGGGCTCCGGTGGAACCGAGGTGTATGGTTGGATTAGCTCTTAGGAAACAGACCTTGCAGGCAAGGGGTGGAGCTGGGCTGAAGGCTGCAGGCAGGCGCCATAGACAATAAGCAGGACAGGCTGAGCGTCCGTCCCGGAGCTCAGGGAAACACAGGAAAAAGAGACAGTGAGACCATCTGCCCCTGAGTGTCCCCAGCCTGAGTTGCTGCCAAAAGACAGACAGAAGTGAAGAAAAGCGCAGGATACTAGCTCCAGACCAAGCCACGCCCCAGAAGGGGGGGGGACTCTGGCAGAAGAGGCAGGTCCTGCTCTGCTCCGGGCTGGTATCTACTAAGTCCTGGCACTTGCATCCCCATTCATCCCTTCCCTCTGCTTGGCCTGGGGTCAGCCCCACGAGCCAGCCAATGAGGGCTGCTGTTCCACTTCTGGGAAGAGCTACACTGGAGAATAAAGAGACAAACCCAAAGTGTTACCTGCCACCTGCCATTTCTCCATGTAGGCAGCACTGTATACTCACTGTGAGATGAAAATTATTTCACTTTATAAATGAGGAAAGTGAGGTACAGTGATACTAGGTATCCAAGGCCAAAAACACTCGTCAGTGGCAGGACTGTGATTTAAACAGACCTGCGTGACTCCAGGGCCAGAGCCCCGAAGCTTCATTCTGCCTCTTCAAGGGGAAATATTTCCTTTCACAGGAGGCACACAGGCAGCGAAGCCCCGGTCACCTGTCCCCAGCCAGCCATCAATTAGTCAGTCAGTCTGTCTGTCCGTCATTCCCTCCCTCCCCAGAATGCCATCCATAGCCTCAGTGGGTAGAAATGCTCCTAAGTCCATTGGTGGTAAAAAGGTTTTAAAAGCTGAAAAATGGGGCATGATGAATGACAAGGCCCAGGGTGCCCATGTGGATGATGGACCCACATATCTGGAATGGGTATATGCCAGAAGAGCCCCAGTTGTGAAGATGACCAAACCAGACCTCACAGTTGGGAAATCGCTTATCTTCTTGCCTGCAGGACTGCAACAGGAAAGCAAAGACTATTAGAGAAGAGTGAGGCATGACCAGGCCTCACTGCTGGACGTGGGGAGTGACACCAGCTCTCTTATCCCAGACACACACACTCGTCTCCTCTATTGTAAGTCTGCAGCTGATGTTCTCACTGCAAGCCACTGACAGGAACCATGGCAAAGGTGATGACTGAATTTCAAGGGATCCTTTTTGTGATCTACTGACTGGGCACCCGAATAATGAATGGATAAAAGAAATAAGGTTTGTACCTTGTTCTAAGCTAGCATCTATTGAACACTTAATGTGTTCCAGGCCTTGGGTTAAGTGTTCTTTATCAGAAATCTATCACATATAGGGTAGATGTTATCACCCCTACTTAACATACAAGGAAACTGAAGCTCTGAAGAGTATGGCTCTTGCCAGAGAAAAAACAGCTAGTAAGTGATAGAGCTTGGTTTCCAACCTGGCAGAGTTTGAACAGCAGCTGTAATGTAACTCTGTAAATGGTCAGAGAACAAATAGTTTAGGCTCTGCAGGTCTATGTAAAGAAATGGTCACAGGCCCTCCCAGGTGGTGCAACGGGTTAAGTACAGCACTATGAAGCTATCCTAAGCCACTGCATCGTGAGTTCGATCCCCTGCCAGGGAGGTGGCCCACATGGTGTGGCAGACCTCTCCTGTCCCACCTGCGGCTCCCCTCTGCAGTGTTTCAGTAGATCTGCCTGTCCCTGGTGAATTCTCTTATGACCCCATACCTCTGGCCTGTGCCCCACTTCTTGTAGGCATAAATAAATCTTAAAAAAAAAAAAAAAACTGTCATAGCTACTCCAACTCTGTTACAGCAACACAAGTGTTCATGTATAAAACATAAATAGATGTGGTTGTATTTTTTTTTAAGATTTATTTATTCATGCATACAAGAACTGGGGTACAGGCCAGAGGTACAGGGGGATGAGAGGATTCACCAGAGACAGAGTGGGGAGCAGAGCAGGCCGACTGACTGAAACACACTGCTGAGGGGGCAGTGGGCAAGACAGGAGAGGTCTGCTCTGCTGCAGCGGCTGCAGCCAGCTTCATAGAGCTGTGCTTTAACCAGCTGCACCACCAGGGAGGGCTGGCCCCTGTTTTAGAGCACTCAACCACTCTGGTTACTACTTCTAATAGTGAAGACCAGCTTTTGGCATTCTGCAGCACTTACCCTCATATGGTGCCACAAAGACAGGACACGCTAGTCCAAGAGGCAGTCCTGGGGGAAACGAGCACTAGATGGGTGCTCACCCTGTGCCAAACTCTGCTCTCAGCCCTTACAAGTATAAATAAAGTTTAACCCACACTCACTGATGGTGCTGCAAAACTCCCCCTTCCAAAGAGAAAGGAACCAAGGCAGCGAGGTTAAATTACTCGACTAACCTCACCCAGCTGTATAAGAGAGAGGTGAAACCAAGACTGGGACTCAGGCTGTCCATACTGAGCTTTACCATTGCTATGCTGGAGCCAGCCTGGGTCCAGAGCCAGACTGTCTGGGTTTGAATGTGACAATGCACGGCACGTAAGCCCTTGGCACAGAGTCTGGAACACATTAAGGGCTGATAAATGTTAGCTGCTAATATCATTAAGACTATTGTTACTACCACTAATATGCGGCCTTCAGCAAGTCACTGCCGCTGTCTGGGCCTTGGCTAGGTCTCTAAATAGCTTCCAGCTTCAACAGCTTTATGCTCTATGGGGCTGCAGTTTTCTTGGCGTCTCCAGTTGGATTTAAATCTTTTGAGCTGACCCTGAGAGGATCAGGATCCCAGACCGGGGGGGAGGAGGGGGGCACACATGAGTCAGAGAAAATGGGGCATGGTGGAAGGGAAGAATAATGCACAAGATACCAAAAGAGCTACTCAGCTGCAGAGCTAGGAGCTCTCTTTCTCCCATCCACAGAGCCAGCTATTTCTCATCAAAAATCTATTATGTTCCCTGTAATTCGATCAGGCAAGAAGAGGGTATCAAATTAAGTCTGGAACTAGCAAATTATCTTCTAATTGTACCCTCTGATGAACAGAATGTAGATGGAAGAAAGCATAAGACACAAAGAGACCAGGGCCAGGGAGCCCATAAGCGTAACTCCTCCTGACACTTCTCACATCTCTGCTGTTCCAGCGGTGTGGCGGGCCAGTGAGTCGGTGTCTAGGAATGCGAGCAGGACGCTGCAGGCTTTCTCCACTCCCCAACTCCCTTTACAAAGGACACAGTAGGTGGCTGTGCCCCTAAGTAGTATGAGGACTTAGTGCCATGCAAACTGCCTCACCCTAGGAGAAGGGCAGCTGTCTCCCCAGGCCCTGAACTGTAGTGAAAGCCCCTCGTAGGTGGAGTCCATTTGATCCCTATAAATCCAGACTTCAGGAGGAGTCAACGAAGGACTGATCACCACATGTGATAAGCTGCTGGCTGCTCAGTGTTATGGCTCCTTAGAGCCAAATTCTAAGGATTCAAACCACCCAACAACAGGAGGTGAAAGGACACGCTGGAGGATCTATTTCCCCTTCTGGCTTGGGCAGTGGAAGGTACTCTAAGTCGTAGAGCAGTTGGCAGAGGATTCAGCAGTTAATATTGCCAGAGGCTAACAGCAGGGATCCTTGGACTGACAGTTAAGGACAGGATAAAATGGCAGGAGAGGTGCTAATCTTCTACATATTTCACAAATTGGAAACCTGGCGGGGAGCCAAGCAAACCAACTCCTCGAAACCAGCTCAGACACTGGGCTTCAAGACGTCTGTGAGAATAACAGCTATCAAAGTCTGCAGCCTGGAGTGAACACTGAGAGGAGGGGGAAGGAACCACTCCCACCTCTTGTTAGCAGGGTCTTGTCAGAGATTCAGAAGCCCATGACCTGTGTTCACCTAGTGCCCCCTACTGGCAGGGAGGACTCCAGCCAGGGAAGGGAACTCCAGGGGAATGGGGCTTCAAGGGTAAGCACTGCCACCCCCATCTACCTCTGCTCCTCCTTTTCTCACTTAACTATCCACATTACAGCGGCAGTCATCTTTCTAAATGAAGGTCCCAGCAATTCCAATGCTAGAAATTTTTCCTGCAGAAATTCTCCTACAAATGTGTCAAGACGTATATTCAGCTCTGTTTAACACTAGATTAAGCACAAGTCATGTGTCTGTCTGTGTCTGTGTGTGAATGCATGTGACTAAATACATTAACACATCCATACAGCAGAATACAACAGCTATTAGAAACAAAGAAGTAAATCCTAGGTGCAAAAACAGAAATCAGAAATCCTAAGTACTAAATGAGAAACCTTCCCAGTGTGTATAATCCCATTGTGTAAAGAAGTCTAAGCACATAATCCTTAAAGAAAATCTAATCAGTTATCTTCTCTTTTACAGTAGCGAGACAAGAAACAGGGATGAAGTAACATTCTTCTTTTTTACCATTGTGATTTCTTCATATTTTTCTCTTACTCTTAAGTGCTGCTGTTTAAAATAATGGACCTCATAAAAAGAAGCCCATAATTCAGAGCAAATACCTCCTCACACATTTCCCCTCATACTATAGTCCAAAGGCAAAGTCTGCAAGGACACACTGGTCTCAGGACTCCTGGAGCTGTTGTCTTCCCACCAAGCCACTGCTCTGGACACCTCCTGCTCTCCCCCACTTCCTGATCAGGTCACATAAAGCTCTCGCCAGCAATCCCCTAGGCCTTTGCTCTCTTAGCTTCTGCAGGTTCCTATGTTTCTATTTGGTGGCTGTCTCTTCCACCTTTTCCAGGTCCAACTCCAAAAGAGTACTCCATTTCCTCTGGAAAGGGGTCCCTTGACGTGCTTCCAAGAATATGCAGAAATTGTAATGGGACTGGGCAGGGAGGGCCCTGAGCACCTATCTTTCCACTGCCCAGATAAAACTATATAAGTCTCACACGAGGCTCACACCTCTGTCTACAGA